ACAAAGCCAGACACGACAGCTTCAACCGCTGCTTCGAGCCTACACCAATTCGGATCTGAGCTATGATTGTAACGAATACGTACATGTTCACATTGCTCGACTACCGACTGGCGGCTGTCTCTGCCTTGTCTGCCCGGGTAGCCACCAAATTCACCACCAGCCGCTTTGCCTGCATTCCAACAACTGATCCGATGCATCCTGGTAGGCCCAAAACTGCCTTTCAATGGCCCTGACCTCCTCCAGCAATTACAGGAGCGTCACGACTTCCACGGCATTTGGACCCTCCATGTACGAACACCTTGGATCTTTTTTCCAACATGTAAAATATCCCCCTTTAGTACCCACAATTGTCTCTGACACATCAACAGATGTTCCCCATACCCCGGCTAATCCCGCTGTTAAAGTACTACTTTCAAATTTCGGTTCAAACCAAGTCATCGCGCTTGTTGATTCCGCCTTTGATACTTGCCATTCAGGCCAACCAGCACATGCCGAGTGCATCCGTGGCCTGGTGCGGCATCGGTTTACCCCCAATATCGCTCCTCAGTTGAATTGTGATGGATAACCTGGTCCTACTCGGCATTTCGTACTCTGCGCAAATCCATTCCACGGCACTACACGGTGCAGACCTGATCCGTACCATAGAGGTGGGTACGCTAGGTCAGCAAGCGAATACGTGGCACACTCGATGGTGTCAGGTTTTTGTCTGCACCGGCCTGAATTGACCCAGCTTCAAACGGGAATTTACTGACCACTTCTTCACATCGATCTTCCCCGGACCACTACAACGGCTTTGAGAGCCATACCATATACACATACATTATAACTTATCTCTTTTGAAATAAATAATACTATCCCTATCACACACGCATCAAGAATTTGTATCGTAGGGTGAATGTTCGCGGGAGCCCTAGGACATTACATATCTCGAATTATTGGCAATCGTTTATCTCGCGTTTATGTTTACCACCAAGTTCTCCGGCCACACAGTAACCATTGAACCATCACGCCTACCAGAAATCTTACCCCTGCTATGACTTCTAACAGAAATCGGAGCTGCACACAACTTCATAATCATCGCTAAGTGGCAGGAGTTCATAACATAGCAACAGACTATGAATCGTATACACCTGCTGCACACAACTTCATAATCATCGCTAAGTGGCAGGAGTTCATAACATAGCAACAGACTATGAATCGTATACACCTATCTCGCACAGCACAGCCAAATTTACACATCAAACACAACCCCATAGCAGGCATCATTGCCGAATATGAAACACACTTGCGGTCACTCTCATAGCACTCACACCAAACTCTCAAAATTCCACAGCACGCCATATAACATCCTCTAATATTCAATTTTACATCACCAGAATAACGCATAGGTCCTCCAGACCCCACAGCGACCGCTAAACTCTAAAACCCACACAAACGCGACTGTTCCGTTTCCAATTCACGGGAGATGCACGCCATCAGCACGTACACACCACCCTATAGTACTTCTGGAGATACTCTACACATGCAAGCGCCTCCACTACCCAACGCCAATATCTCACACTGGCCGAACATGACGATCACCTGCCAATCCTCAGATCACATCTCTTGCTCGTCTATCTGGGTTGGCGAATATGCGCAATTTAGCAACCGACAGCATAAAACCATACACATCTCACATCCGCACGCTCTACCATAACCAAAGTCAGGCACTACCTGAGCAAATTGACTTGGTGTAAAATACATGAGATCAATTAGTCGTCGCCGAATTGCGAAGGGATGTGTGCATCTGCCAAACCAAAATCGCCTCCCACTCTACTCTCACCTCGCGGGCCACCTCAGCTGCCTGGAGGATCTCCGTCCTGTCACTGCCCTGGCTGTCAGTACCTTTTGGCTTCTCCGATCAGACGAAATTGCCGTAGCTCCGGACGAGCCGTGCCCCCGATTCCGCCACGTGAACCGCTCCTGCGTTCGATGCTTAAACACACACATCGCGCTAATCGTCCCGACATCAAAGACCAGTATGGAACGGACCGTAACCAATTCGAGTCCTAAGCTCCTCCAAAGCATGGCATATATATATATATATATATATTCATTGTCTTCTTACTACGTGGCTGGCACGTACGCATCCGAACCCAGATAATGCCATCTACTGTCCATCAACGGCACCCCATATTTCAAATCCATTTTTACCAGAAAACACAAAGCGATCCTTATTAGCTTCGGCCTCTTTACTCAGAAATTCACTGGACATAACCTTCGGATTGGCGGTCACACAGCGCTACTCTAAGCAGTCATTTTTATACAGGAGGAACGCATCTTGGACAAATGGACATACTACTATATTTCAAAAGGGATGGGCAAGACAACAAAAGAGTGGCTGCGATACTGCCATCCTACACCCTCACAAGCGGCTACCATGCACCGAAACTCAGGCCAGGCCAATCGACGTCAGCACTCGATTATGTGTTCTGCTATGACTCCTCAACTACCCGCCTTGGGTCACAACAGTCCTGACGCACTGTCTTTGGCCGTGCCGTCTGTCCTGCAGCCAAGATCACATACGATGGAAACTATGGGTAAATTACCTTCGCCTTGCTCAATTCTATTAAATACTTAAAACCCGGAGAAGAACTTTATATTGTGCTGCATTTGTTCATAAATTCCAATTACTTGCCAACGTATTAAATTTAAAAGGGCCCGACCACAAAAATACATTGCGTCTACTCCATGGGACCTCGATGATTGGCATATTCACTTCTACACCATTGTCAGCCGAGAAGTACATCATGTATTTATGGACAGATATAGATATGAATGTGGTCAGACTTAGACTCTTAGTTTTATTTCTTTTTAGACTGCGGAAATACTGCGGAAATAATTTCAAATCTTTTCGAGCGGACAAGGAAGCAAGTAGAGAATTTTACGAGGATGCCTATATCTCACGTACATCCTTTGACATCCTCAAACTATCCTTGTGGTTTAAGAGAAGTGACATCCGAGGTGTTTGATCTTATATCACAAGTCATCTAGTTGTGTAAATAATATTGTAATGATTCCCACTAGTTTTTCTTCTTCTGTCGAGTACTATCAAGCAAACGATTTTGGATGATCAAGTCTTACAAATTATCTATACAAGCGCTGGTGGTATCGCACATTTAGCAAACCTTCTTGATTATCCAATTCGGTAGTAAACTCAGGTAAGTTTAAGATATGAAGGTAAGAGTATTCATTCAGCAGCGGTTCCGAGTATCACAGCAGTATTTATTATTGGCTAGTTCTTCCTGGATGCGGAAATTTATGCTTGCGAAAATCCATGCTTCACATCTGACCATAATATCTGTCGAGGGTAGTCCAAATCGGGAATTCTATGAATCAGATGAAAGTCCAGTTCATCCACCATGTAAAGCTGGCTTGACCATGAAGACTATATCGTACTAAACTTGAAGTTAAATCCAATACGTCAACTGCAAAAAAAAACGAGTTAATCTTCAGTTTTGAACTGAGACTTTTGTCTATATAGTTCCGCTCCGATCATTCACTACTTCGGTCTAGATTTATTTCATGTCAACAACTAAGATTAGGTTTGTTTCGATTGGTCGGATTCATGCTTCGAAACAATCCTTCAATTATAACTGTGTGTATATGATTTGAAATCCAACTTACGAAAACTATAAATATAAATAAAAAAACCAGCTGGTGCAGTACCCCCATCACTTTGTGTGTAACTCTCCATTGCATTAATAAGGATATAGACGAGCACATCTAGTAGGCTGGCCAGAAGGACTCGACATATCCTATATCACAGTAAATTCTCTTGCTCTGGTATAATACAAGGAAAACCACCAGATGTACACTATAGAGTCTCCGTACCCTATAAGCGCACCATGTTTTAATATTGCATCTCCAAAGGTCTAAAATTGGATAGTTTTGTTTATTGCAAATAACTACCTTACGTTTTACGTATTCTATAATTTCAGAGTTACGTTAACATGTACTTCTACTACTAGGAACCCGCGATTTTTACAACCGGGGCAAATCATCACGAAACTATAACATAAGTGATGAACATAGCATTTCCCTTCTCACAGACTTAAATATGACGTCATGATATTGTACCTACCATGGCTTATTCGAAAACTTGGAAAAAATATCGGTTTGCCATCATGTAGACTTCGCGCGCCGCTTTTAGCCACAGCCTAAAACAATGTGCTACAGGGGACAATGGCTTTACTGCTTGCAGGGATGCGACTGGTAGCTCTGGAAACAAGGATGGATCCGACAAGAGCGATGACGAAAATTCAAGTGGTGAATCTGAGGATTGGATCACTGGGATTTGAATCAACCCCAAGGAACCAGGTCCATGTCACTTGAGTGTCGATGCATTCAAGGTACGCCCAATTTTGAAAACTGCAACCAAAGTAAATGTCACAAAGTTCAGCAACAAATTAATTGCTTTTCGGACGTAGCTGCAGTCGCCACAATAGCACGTGCAGTTATGCCTTATAATTACATCCGAGTCGCAAACTATATGAGAAAGAGGCGATCCCCTCGGTTCGGAACGATAATACTAAGTATATAAGCTGGTATGGATCTGGATAGCGGGTTGAAAGCCGCAGTTCAATGACAGACATACACACCCAGCAAATTAATCATTCCGGGGGCCAATCTTGAGGCCGCAGTATAGAGACATCGTCAAATACTATGAATATGAATACATTTCAAATACTACTGAAGGGTTTCATCGATTAAAGTTCCTAAATACAATATATTGCTCCAGAAATGAAATAAGGAAAGCAACTCTATTTCGTCAATTGTGCTAATAATAAACGCAAATTATATGCCTGCTGTGCGCTCTAAACTCGGGGATAAATATTTGTTCTTATGCGCATCGTTTCGTGTATAGGATTCATTGTACCATACAACCAAACGTGATCTTAGTCTTAGGATTAGATATTGGTTCTTATACACATCTATTCGTACATAGGTTATATTGTACCATCAACCAAATGTGATTTTAGTCTTAGGGTTAATTATTTATTCTTGTGCACATCTATTCGTATATAGGATTTATTGTACCATCAACCAAATGTGATCGCATATCTTCCCGTATTTCGCTGTGGCATTGATGATGTCTTGAGAATCTCCTCCTTAATAATACGTTTGATTTCGCTCCTGGCAATCTGTATCTTCCTCTCGGAGTCGGCTTCTATAAATAGGAACAGCTTACGCTCTCCGTCTGCCGGCACCTTCTTCCCAGGGGCGTAGAAAATGCCACGGATTGTAATCGCCGCTCCACTGTACTCTTGCAGATCAAGCACAGCCTCCTGGTAGATGAAAGATATGATCGGAGTTATGCTTAGTCGAAACGGAGATACAACAAAGAAGACGAATAGTTTTATATAGCTGACTGCTGACTGTATCCATGAAGAAACGTCGTGGACGGAAATTATCGCAATATTATACGCTTACAGCTCAAGTGCCACCGCCTATTGGCAGATATGCCCAGTTTATGCTAGATCAAAACTGAGATGCAACACACGAAAAGAGTACGCAAAAGATATGTCATCGATGTAGAAACACTATGAATCCAACGCCATTACCTTCCCTCAGATTCAGAACAGCAACCATAATCCTGATTTAAACCTATCTATGTGTGAATATAACATTCTGTATACACAACCGTGTGCACAGATTTTGGATCTTCCAAGGGGTAAATTGGTACAGTAGGCTTATTTATTTGTCAGTAGTAAGTAAATTTGAACGAGAAACCCGATTCTCAGCCCTCCAATTGCAGGTAGAATTGTATTTTAGACATGTACAGTTAAGCATCTATTATATGTCGATAAGAAGCAGCTAATCTCAAAAGGGGATACCAATCACAAAATGACGCAACTGATACGTACATTTGATAAGAACGATGTACACAATATATCCCAAAATGTCCAAGAGTACAAGAACATTACCAATATCCAAATATAAACCTATAGTCTTTTAATATGTATTACAGAGATTGGTAGATTCAGTTCCATCACATACCTTAGAGGTGACCTTCCATCGTGCATTCTGCGGGAAATCATTAATCTCAAGTTCTTCCTCGAAGTGTTTGTTAGCTTCGGCAGCCTGTCATATAACAGAAGTGGAGAAAGATGTTGTGTGTGTGTATATGTTAAATATTATATATGTTCACACATATACACACACACACATATATATACATACATACATACATACATACATTTACATACATATATATATATATATATATATATACTANATATATATATAT